CTTCTCATCTTACAGCACTTTCTAATCCCTGGAGCCTTCCTTTACACTGTGTATGGAAACTTATCATTTCAGCAACAAATGAAAACAAGCCCACAAAATCAGTGAMGTTTACAGAGCCATTAAACTCTTAGAACTTACCTTATTTATCGAATAGTCACCTCCAAATATTAGGCATGTCAATTTTCTCCTTTATTTCAACTCTTTTCCATACTCTTTCTATAAAAAGTATCTTTTTATCATAACAATATTTTAAAATTTTAGGTTTAGGGACTCATATTTAAGTCTTGTCTGTAGCTGCTTTAAGGGAAGAGATTTGCTTTGGATGTACTTGTATATCAGAAGAGGTTCAGAGAAGCAGCATCAGATTTCCCTGCAGAAAGCTTTTCTTGTTGTGGCTGCCCATTTAAATTTTAGTTGCTGGAGGTGCCCACAGGTGAAACAGGCAGTGCTGGAGATGATTGTATCTGCTCTGTCTCTGTCTGCCAAGCCAGTGTGACCACAGCAAGGTGTGATGTTTACACATGACATTTGTGCACATATCCACAGTGTCCGTTCTGTGGAGCAGATGGTCCCCAGGCTTTTCCCTGTGGGTACTCCTCACAGTCCTGACACTGCTCCTTGCAGATATTTTCCTTCCAGCAGCTGTCTGAATGGACAGTGGCCAATTTACGAGCCTCAGCAATTTATCAGAGAGGTTCCAAAATTGGCAAAATTGCTGTGATGTGAATACACTGGAGACTGGAACTGCACAGGGCAGTTTCAAATAACAGCAAGCAGCTGAAAATGAGCCCGTGGAACCCATGTTATGTTAAAGGACACTTGATAWGGAGCCTGACAAATTACAAGCCTATGACAACCCTGACACATCTTGAAGATAACTCCCASTGAACTAATTATTCCATGTGGATAAGATCAATGTTCCCTTTGCCAATATGCCTCAGAAAGCCAGTTGTGAGAATGAACAGAAAAAACTGCCTTTTTTTTTTTTTCCTACCTGCATGACTTTGGCTTTCATAGTTTTCTTTCTTTGTTGGTACTTGTTCATACTTGGAAAGATATAATCTTTGCTGTTTTACTGACACAGGGATTCTTACTGTTGCCATGAGCTGTCCATTTGTCTTTTCTCCTGCATACAGCAAGGAACATTAATCTCTTACATCATGGACAGTTTTACAGATTTTTTTTTTCCTGTAAAAACTGCCAGATCCAGTTGGGATTCTGCAGGTAAAGGAAAATACCTGTTTCACCAGCTGATCAGCTGATGTTCTGGTCCTGCTGGTTTGTATTACGAAAACTTCCAACCTACAGACTATGTCTGTGCCCATCAAATATTTATGACTTTTTTTGGTCTAATTAAGTATCTCTGCACATTTAATTTGCATGGTGGGCAAGAATCTATCTCCTACTGGTATCTAAAATAAGCTTTTTTTATTCTTGTTATTTGCAGAAAGATTGCATGGACAGGCAGAGGATCTTCATCTCTTTTCTTATCACTTTAATTTGTAGCCTGTTATTYCCAATCCATATTGTTTTGTTGGTTCCTTGAAGCCCTTCTGAGAGAACATTATGAATTAAACATCTTTCAGATTTGTGTTTGTACTGTTCTAATTTTGAGCATAAGCAAACACTTCTCTATGCAAAACTTAATTTTGGTTCTGTTTAAAGGTGAATCCTGCAATTAATTCTCTTTGCCTGGGTTGCCTCTATTGCTTCTGACAACACTGCAGCTCATCTCTGCAGTACCTCAGATTTGGGACAGTCTCCATTCTTTTAACCGATGTTAATTAAATTATTAAAGAACCAGACATGTTTCCAAATCCTCCTCATTGGAGGGTCAGCACGAGGGGTGAGGTGGGGGGAGGAGGGACCCGTTTTTTCTCGTAACAAATCAGCCATCCATGTTATATTCCATGATTTTTGCTTGGTATTGATCAATGGAATCCAAAGTTACTGGGTGAGAGCACAGTTGTTGTCCTAAAAAGGGGGATTTGTTACCCAGGATGCAGTAAGCAACTGATAAAGCAGACCCTGTTCTACAACCCCCTTCTCATCCTCAAATTCTCTGGGTGAATTGTTAACTAATTCTGACCCTAGAGAKAGCACAGTGCTTGGCTAATTTCTTCCTGAAAAAAAAAACACTGAATGGGATGTAAGGGAAAGACACTTTGAAACCATTAACATACAGAGCTTTTTCTTACTCATCAGCTATATCTCCATATTTTAGTCTGAAGACCATTTCTATGTTGATTTACTGTGGGATTATTCTGTTGCACAGCTTATCGTTTCTAGATTTCAGTTTGTAGACTATTGAACAAGTCTTTATCATTGCATGGCAGAGGGACTTATTTTGTAATTTTGTTTTTCAGGAGACTGCTCCTTATGCCTTTTTTGATAGCACTGATGATTGCAGGAAAGAGGATAGTCCCCCAGGAACAAAGGAGTAACACTCCTCAATTATCACTGCACCATGACAAGCAAAAAGAATGATATGAACTAATCTGTGCTGCAAAATGCGTGAATGGAGCCACASAAAGCAACATTACAGAAAACAGACACCTTTGGCAAAGTCTGGGAATGTCTTTGTGCCCTGATTTACCACAAAGTTAGACATTTTCCTCTTCCTACTGTTCCTTGAATGAAAATCCTGAGGTAAATTTTACCTTTCACATTAAACACTGCAAGGCCTGCATTCATTTGAACTTCAACAGCAATTTTCATCATCACAGCCTCAGTGACAAGAAGGATTCTTTTTTCTCAAAGTCATAAAGTCTCAGCACTGGGACTGAGGTGCTGGCAGAGAAAGAGCCAAGAAAAGACTGAGCTTTGCTGGGATAAAACCAGGTTGGAGACCTGCAAGTAGCAGAAGACAAGTCAGAGCACAGGAAGATGAGAAAAATATTTGGAAAAAAAAAGGTGGCACTGGCAACCTTGCAAATTAACCAAAAAGCCCCAGGAAGGGAARAAGGAGGAAGGCAAGGTTTACAAAAGATGGGGCAAAATATTTAGGTGTAGGAAGGCAGAGAGACCAGGACTGAAAAAGGCAAGCAAGTGTTGCCACTAAGGCCAGATTTAAAGGAAGATTTAGCTTGAAGGACCAGGTTTCTGGAATAAAGGCTGATTTCTAGGTAACAACTCAMCTGTCTGCCATCAAGAAAATCACTCTTGATTGGAAAGCAGAGCACACACATCTTTCTAGCACTCATATTAATGCCTCATTAACTCACCAATAGGAACAAGAATTAATAAGAAAACCTGGAAAAGAAAGTTGATATCCACTGTGGTGTTAACTTGTTTGCAAGCCCAGTACTTTGCAATGCATGCTTTCCTCAATGGTTTGCTTGTTTTCCCTTTGGTGCCTGGTTCTATTCCTGGTTTGCAAGGACCAGATCAGGGCATGACTGGACACATGGCAAACCAGCAGGTGTGATTTACAGCATGCCATGACAATTATGTGAAATAAATGGCCACTGTTACACCTTGGCCTTCCACCCTACTGCCTACTCTTCTTGACTATCCCATCACTAGATGATGAATGCAGGGGTCCCTATCAGGCTCTGGAGCACATGTGAGTGTTTTTCCACAGGCATTGCTGCCTGAAACCAAAGATTAGGACATGCTGGACAGGCCATGGCCTCATCACACCATTGGGAATCAGCTCCTGTGAGTATTCCTACTTTTACCTGTTGGRAAGAGCAAGAAGCAAATGTTCTTGGGAAACACCGTGTCCCTTCCCTCAACTCCCACATTGTTACTCCTGAGTTTCCTGAGGATCTGCATCTATCCCTKCAAACCTTCATTGCATCTCATTCTACAATTAATGAAGATGATGAAYAATGACAGCCCAGTATCAACTGCTGAAGAGTGCAGCAGTGGTAAGTGCCAGCTGGACTTTACACCACTGATCACAGATGGGATCCCTCCAAAACCCAGCTGCTCAGCTGATTTTCCACCTACAGCATGGGTCACTTATMCAAACCAGCTATCCCAAATTTGGCTGCAAGAATATTGTGAGAAACTGTCAAGCGTCTTGGTAAGCAACATTTTGTACACTCTACTTGTCCACAGAATCTCTCATCTCATCACAGAAAACTATCAGACTGAGCAGGTGTTATTTAATCTGATTGTTCCAAATTTTTTCCTTACTCTAGTAGTCATGGCTTCAAGGAAGATTATTCCATAAGATCCCCAAAGACTGGCTGACCAGTCTCCTGTAGTTCTGTGGATCATCTTCTTGTCTTTTTCACTTTTATCTGGAACCTCATTCATGACTCCTGACTGTACAAAAACCACTCAACACAAGAACCAAGCAGAAGGCACGTGGCCAGTCTATCCCAAGAATCCCAGCCATGCCAGATCAGTGTAGGCATAAGTCCCCCTGGAAACACTGTCACAGAGCCAAGATTCWCTCCTTGGTGTAAGAGAGGAAGAAGACATAGCTGTATCCACTGGGACTCAAAACTGGCATTCTCACTTAATGGATGCACAAGGTCAGTGAGAAAACTTATCAAAATATTTAGAACATAAACATCACAAGTCAATGGACTGAATCATTTCCTACTGAAAAAAATTTACTCCAGCATTTAAGTAAGCTTTGTGTATCACTGTGCAGAACAAAACCCAGACTAAATTCCTGACAGGAACTTTCTTTGTGCTGGGTTCACTYAAGGCTGCAATGAGTCTTCCCTAATGCAGGCAACATAACACAGATAACTAAACTCCCAAGAAAGTGAAAAACCTGCTCWGAGTTGACAATATTATTACAAAAACCTCCAGTGGCAACATTCCCCACAGACTAAGTTCAGCATCCAGACAGAATTAACAAACTTGCAACCACTTCTTTTTAACAAGGAAGATCCATCACTTATTGTAAAGCTGCTTTTGAGTCACTTATTTTAAAGCTGCTTTTCATCTACAGGAATATCTTCAATGCCTATTTAACTGCAATAAACACAACTTTATACTTCTGGAACAAAAAAAAACCCCCACAAGGTATAGTCCTCAAAAGTTTATTTCAAGTATAAAAATCGTTCCGTGAAATATCTACAGGTTTTTCTTTCAGCATTAAGGTTTTACAAGATAGAAAGAATCAAGTACCAAATTTCAGTAAAAAATATGATTTGATTTAAAATTTTGAGTAACAGTGAAAAGGCACTTAAACAAAAGATACCTAATGACAAATACAACTGTTACGTCACAGTGAACGTGTAATGAAACATAATCTAACACTTTATAAACAAAGAAATTAATTACAGTCTGGTTAAACTGAGCAGCACGGTCCTGACAAGAGTGAATTCGAACTCCCTGCATTTCAACAAYAGCACTTTTCTTTCAAGTGCAAAGAAAGCAGAGAGGAAGAAAAACAAGAGAAGTCTTCAGTAAAATAACAGTTTGCAGCACTGTGTTCGAACTTAGAACTCAGAGTTCAAYTGGTACAAGCTCCACAAAAAGAAATATAACAAAACTGGGTAGCAGCATAAATATTTGGGGCATAAATGCCCCTGATCTGTATGCTTGAATCAAGGGGTTTATGTTTCTACTCCCAAAAAAAGTTTCTACAAAAACAGAAAGCATTTTTAGGAGCAAAACAATCAGACTAGCACAAGTGGGAAACAGAAAGTGTGATGCTTAGGAATCAAATGCAATCCCTTTGCAGCAGAAATATTCTTCCACTGCCAGCAATGGAAAGTATCACAAGTAATGAAACAAGAAGTTTTTGAGAATCAGGAAAGAAAACAGGCTATGACACTTTACATGAGTTTGTTATTTTCTGGTCAAGATTCAGTGAGCTACTCTATCTTAAAAAAGGAAAAATAACAAATATGCCAAAAGAAACARAACATTTAAAACAGCACTTACAGCACCAAAGTATATTTTCACAATAAATAYGAAATAAGATGTTAATTATTCACAAATATGAGGAAAAGAGGGAGGRAAATTTTTAACACCCACCAGAAAACTGTGGGTTTTGACAATTATTCAGAAATACGAAGTAAACTGATAAAAGGAACAATAGTGTTGGCGTTCTTTTCTCAGTAAGACCTTTGATACAGGAGTGCTATCAAGACTTTTGCATCTTTTTTTCCAGATACATTTTCCTGTAGGTCTGAAACATCTCTTTAGAGTCTTTGACTGGAATGTGAAGAGTCTCTCCATCTCCATCCAGGATCTGTATAGCTGTATCAAGGGGAACACTGTCCTCAGCTGCAAGACAGACAAGCACGTTAAAGCAAGAGTCTCAAAGGACTCCACTCCTAATGCATGTGGCATTCAAGACCTTCCAGTGACAAAAAGGATGCCACAAACTTCCTTCCTCCCTAAAGCACCAGGCACCTCAGATTTAAAACAATCTCCAACACATCTTTAAGCACAAAATGGCTATTTGGGCCATCTTCACAAGAGAGATTTCTGAAGAGYGTTAAGAAAGGTGTGACAGAAAACGTGCATTTGTGAAAGTAAGAGAAGAAGCAAGAGGAAGGGCTTAAATGATGGCAGAGACCAACACCCAAGGACACAGGCAACAGCGATAGAAGATGSAAATGTTGCAAAATGTGTTACCTGCAACCCCACAACACAGGTATCAGCGTGCAAATCCTCTGCTCTAAAGTTAACAAGTAGATGGCAATAAGGCTACAGCATGCACTTTGCTTCCTGTTAGACCAGGAGGAGAACACGACCAGAGCTAGAAAAGTAYTTAGAGCAAAGAAACAAGGACAGCTGGAAGCAACCTCACCCAAGATTTACAAAGGAGGAACAAACAAGATCCTGAGATGCAACTTGCCACTGTAGTAACAGCTGAATCCTAAAGGGTATAAAAGACCATCCAAAAAGCAATTTGCCAGTCAAGAGAAACAAGGAAGATGTAACAGTGGCCCCACTTTCCTTCTGGGTGTCACACAAGCAATCTTGTCCAGACTACTGGGACACACAGGTCCTGAAACTTGTGAGCACAGGTGTTATGTGTGGACAGCAGCAATGTACTGTAAAAGCCAGATTTTTTTAATCACTTTTTGTTTCTAAAACCTTGCACTAGATTTTGCTACATCACTTCCTACATTTTAAAGTGTGAAAGAGTCTTTATATACAATTTCAAACTATATTTAAATGTTGTTACCAGTGCTACATCCAAGTTAACAGCACAGGAAAATTTCAACATTTCCATATTCATAAAGCAATAAAAAGCTCCACAAATCTTTGAGACTTGTATGTCTATTCTACAGTATCCATTTTAATCAGCAAAGCTATTCTACAGTATCAATTGAATCAGCAAAGCTAGTAAATAATAATTTAAAATGCTTTATTAAGGTTTACTACTGTAAAGGAACATTTAAAACCAAGCAAAGAGGATTTAACTTGGATTTGAAATGGGACACTCAGAAGAAGTCACTTCACCTGCCGAGATCTCTTCCACTTTCTTTTGCTTCACTGGTTCACATTTTAACCAATCTTCTTTTTTACTCTTGACACCTAAAACCAAAATTTAAAAAAGAAAAAGTTTTTGAGGTTCCTGTATCACAGGTTTTGGCCTCTATTCAGCAGAAAATTTTAGCACATGCAAAAGGAAATTTCCATTGGGTAGGAAAATGACTGCAAGGGTTGGTCATACATAGCTCTAGATGTGGATAAAGTACAGTTTTTGACATAAATAGGCTTCAGAATACACCATGTAAAATGTAGAAAAATGGGGTGGGGAAGAAGAGAAGGAAAAAGGGATGCAAAGATGGCAAAGGCTATGGRCACTATGTGCAGGATATGCCTGGCCTAAGCCCTCTCTCTTCCTGAATGTCACCAAGATCTCTCCCTCCTCTGCCCAGCCACACTTACAACCAGGTGAACAGCGAATACAGACCAGATCACCTTTGGTAACTATGCCAAGGGAATCTACTTTCTACAACCAAGCCAAGCTATCTTCTACAAGTGCTTTAGAAAGCCTTCTCCCAGTTACTTGAAATTGCCATGCTCTAAAAGTACACTAATTTCATTCTCTAAGACTTACAGAAAATTGATGGAAAAGTCCCATGTTCTTTTTCAGCTTAACACACAGCTCAGGTCTGCCAGAGAGACAGTTAAGATATCTTAACYTTCAGCCTCTACAGTCCCACATTTTCACTGTCATGTTTTGTGCAACATGAATTTAAAAATGAATACACATTTTTTACTTAGGAATGAATAATCAAGACAGCATCATACCTGCTACAACCATTTTATCTCTTTCTGGAGAATTCTTTGTAGCTAAGCTTTCTTCGCCAGGGGCTGGATTTCTGAACAGGATCTCTGGACACAGCTTGAACTCCAGCACATCCCGTTTGCATGATTTCTCAGCTGTCGAGACAGACACATCTCTTTTTGAGTCGCTGCTTTGTGCCACCTTGGTGGTCCTGTGCCAGACGGGTCTGACAGGTGATGTCTCCAATTTTGTCAGATAGATGCGCTCCTGTGCTGTACGTTTGAACGCCACTCTGTTCAGGTAGTGCTTTTTGGGTTCTTTTTGAAGATGCAGCTTTAGTCTGTTGTTTCTTCTGTTTAGGTACAGAAGATTTTTATCAGGAAACATTTTCTCAGAGCACTTGTCTTTGTTCTGACCATCGAGACGTCTTTCTTTGTTAGAAAAGTAGGTTTTGGATATGCTGGAAGATCGAGCCCTTTTTCTCTGCAGTTTAAGCATAGAACAATCTGCTAAGGAGCTCCTTGGTTTCCAGCCTTTTTCTCCATTCAGTTTTTTAGCTTTGTCAGCATTTAGCATGCAATTATGTGCAAGCTGCTTAGAGGTCTTTGCTTCAGATTGTTTCAGTCTTTCCTCTTCTAGCTTTGCTTTCTTAAGCTCTCTCTTCCCAACCATATTTTCCTTCATCTTCCGTTTGTACGTCTGCTCCTGCAAAGGATGAACTTTCACAGATTTATGYGGAGAAAATTTTGTGTTTCTTGACTTGAAGTCTACAGTACCCGTATCTGCCGTACCCGTTACAGCATCAGCTTGATAACTACTCATTTTTTTATGTTTCATTTCTGCTGGTAATTTCACTTTCTTTTTGACACTAATTCCGACGTCTTGCCTAAGCAYCTCCTTTTGTTTCCTACTGTCCTGTTCTTCAGCTGAGCTCTCTTCACAGGTTTTAATTTTTTGTCCTTGATTGACTTCAGAGTGYTCAACTTCAATAGTTTCTGACTTCACAAATTGCTGGGTGTCTGTCTTGGATGCCATGGCCAAGCCTGGTTTGGTTATATCTTCCGAAAGGGAYTCAGTTTTGAAAATTCTCTCCTTCTTTCCAGACAGCTTTGCCATGTTGTCTGCATATGTATGATCAGGTTTCTCTGATAACTCTTGGGACACTGTCGGGTGCTCTTTTGTGTCTGCATGAAATTCTTTACTTGACATTTGCGTTGCTTTATCAATTTGCAGACGTTCCTTCCAACTGCTGYTTTTGCATTTGTCAGCATCCTGGTTTTCAAAGGAATTAGGTGGTCCCTTTTTTTCCTGCTGTGTTGTAGGTAGTTTGTATTCATTATCCACCTTCACCTTAGCTTTTTTGTTCACTGCAGAAGTGTATTTGCAAATATCTTTATTTTTGCTAATACTGTCGGGGATTTTTTCAGAAATTGTCAAGTTTTCTGCACAGTTTTTTTTTGTCGAGGCATCAGATTGATTGTTGTTTTTTTTAATCTCTGCAGAGCTAGTGTTTTCAGCTTTTGAAAGTTGACAGTCATTGTTCTCAGAACCAGATATTTCTAATTGAGAGGGACAGTGCTGTGTTTTACACGCTACAGATAKGCAACCCGTCAAAGAGCAATCGTCACTTTTTTCACTGGGGTTAGAAGTTTCTTGTGGTTTTTTTTCCTTCTCACATGGATTCTGACTAGGTTGGACACTGCCTTCAAGGTTGTCCTTGTCAGCTGAAGCCTTTTCTGATTGTTGATTCACTGTTCCCTTGCTGTCGCTAGAGGGACATTGGCTCTGTCCAGGAAACACTTCTTGAACCTGATCAGAGCTTAACACTGCAACTTTTCYCTGATTTATTGAGTCCTTCAAATGAGGATTCTTGTCACAAATKTTAACCTCTTTTTGAGTTTGATTCYCTTCAGCCTTTTGTGCTGCTTCTTTTATTAGTATATCAGTACCTTCAATGCCATATGGAAACTCTCTCACTAGATCAGACAGCTGATTTTCTAGATATCTACTGGGTTCTGTTCCAAAAAAGTCCACCTCGTTTTCTGTGCTATTTTTACCAGGCAAGGAATTTTGATTACTGTGGTCYCCTGGAACAGCAGGTACATCTGTTTCAGCAGTTATGCTGATAGAGGAATCTGGTGAATTTTGASCTAACTTCTGGTTGATATTAGCAAGACTTTGTAAGGAATYTTCAGGGTGCTTGAAAGATGCCTTSAATGACAYGTTTTGTTCAGAGGTAGAAACTGCTTTAAGAGGATTGCCACTGCTTTCTTTCTCTAGAGGACTTGATGATTCTCCCAACATCTTCAGCAGCAAGCTCTCTTTTTGGGAAGTGTTATTGCTCACTGCAGTTTTATGCAAGTCCAAATGTTGTTCCTTTTGCTTTGCATCTGATKCATTTCCTTCTGATGCATGTTTCTCTGTCTCATACTCAGACCTGAAAATGCCTGCTATCTGTGGATTATAAAATTTATCACCTTCAACAAGAGAGCATACACTAGAAATACAAAACATCTCATTTTCCAACACAGCTTGCTTGTCTTCATCACCTCCCATACCTTCTTGAGAAACTTGGATTTTTACTGTTCTGTTTTCATCACCTAATTTGATCTGTTGCAAATCTGAGTCCTCTTTTTGTTCCAAAACACTATTACTAGGTGATAACCAAGCATTTTCCATTGTTCCCGTGGCAGTATCTACCACACTTACATCGTTTTCCCCCTCTTCTTGCAAGCTACAGGTGCTCCCAGAGTCGATCACCGGATCGGTTTTACCTTCAGGTGTTGGAATTTTGCCATCCTGCTCACTTAGTGTTCTCTGCTCACAAAGTACTAAAGGAGAGACAACTGCAACTTGAGGTTCAAAACTTTTTATCGAATTGGAAGTCAGTGTATCAAGTTTTTGTCCCACAGAGGTAGTCGGTACAGGCAGAACTGGCTCTTCCATGCTAGCCAGAACATTTTGGTTTTCTCTCTTCTTTGTGTTTTGGCTGGAGGGTGAAATTTGATTTGCTGGGGGACTTTCATTTGACTGCTTATTTTGCATACTTACGGGTTCTGATGGATACTTCCCCCACAAGCGCAGGCATGCAGCCAACTCTTCCAAAGAATAACTACAATTGCCCTGCTTACAGGATGCATTCTCAGTAAATGGCGTTTTTTTCTGACTGTCCTTGCTCTGGAATTTAGCATCACCAGACGCAGCTGTTTCYGATGCAGCAGAGGTTGTGTGAGCCACAGGTGCCTGCTCACCTTTCAAACTTTCTACGTTCTTCTCGTGAGTGTCTTTTACCAGGCTTCCACCCGATGCAGACATATCTAGCAGTGGTTTTTCACTGCACAGGAGACTCGTCAGTATTTTATCAGCAGTAGCACCAGCTGTCTTCTCTTTCAGTGCATTTGTGCTGCTCAAAACAAACTGAAGAAATGATGAGTTCCCGGGGCCGATCTGCACACTCTTGGATGAGGTCTTGACAGAGCTCCCTGCTTGAGTAAAACCCGAAGTATTACTCGAGGAAGTCACAGCTCCTTGAGAAGAAGCCAAGGCATACACATCCCTTTGTTCCAAGCTGCTCTCAGGATTTTTAAACTGAGCTGGGACTTTGCTCTGAGAGGAAACGGAAGTGAAGCTTGATGAAAGGCTTCCCTGCTCCACCTGAGGGTTACTTTGAGGCATCTCTAATCTTCTATTATCAGCACTGGATGGATTTCTGTCCCTTCTTTCTTCATGGGAAACCTTAAGAGTGGGCACCTCTGTCCTCACTGCTTCAGAGGGTGAAAGTGGTACATTTTGTTTGGGCACACATGGAAGACAATTAGGAGGAGAACAYGGATAACTAGGAGGAGGAGGGCGAATACTTTTGTCATTATAGATTTTTTTTTTGTAATTATGAACCGTTTCAAGCAGGACAACCCTTTTTTTAAGAAACTTCAGCTTTTCAGCTTCCCAAGCTAGTCTCTCCTTTGTAATTTCCATTCCTTGTGATGCTGCTACTGAAGAAATCTGAGCATTAACAGGCCCATTCATCAAATTACTAGTCTGGGTCTCTGGAACTGAAGCAGGATCACTCAGGGGCTTTGAAGAAAGAGCTTCTATTTCTTTCACAACATCCAACAGCTCTTTGGGAATGCCAGGGGATGACACAGACCCTTCACTAAAAGACCGATTTGCCGTCATGTTTCCACTTGGATTACAGACATTTTTGACTGATTGACTGACTTCTCCAGATGGCTGCTTCTGACAGTGTTGCTGAATGCTGTTAAACTGCTGAGSATGTTTTGGATCCAGCGGGTACCTCTGCTGGCTCATGTTGTATCCATTAGGTACATTTTGCACTTCCTGTGGTACACCTATTGAAGATTGTGCTGCAGCTCTTGGAACAGAGTTGGCAGGCAACAAGGATGGTGCAGAACATCCTCTAGGAGCTTCTGATCCCATCTGACTTGGCTGAAATTGTGGCAGCTGTACATTTGTYCCAGGATTTTGATTCATTGGGTATGAAACTTTACACTGAGCATTGGAATTAAATATTTGGGGTTGGACACGTTGCCCGGAGGTACCAAGTGGAAAAGAATTATTCTGGGGATGAATGCCACTTTGATGTAGTGTTGCAAGTCTCATAGAATTTTGCTGCAGCATTTCTGGCTGCACTGTGTAAGCATTGTTGGTGGCATACTGAGGCTCCCCTATGACACTCCTTACATTATTCCCTGTGTTCATTTGGGAGGACAGGGGAGGTAGATTCCTGCAGGGATAACTGTAGGGGTTAGAGACCTGCCAAGGAGTCGGAGTCAACTCTGCCCGCAAGAGTGAATTCTGAATGGGAGGTTTTGGAGCTATTGAACACATCTGATGTCGTTTAACTGAGTATTTTGACATAAAAAAATTATTGCCAGTTACAGATGCTCCAGGTGAGGTTTGATCTGAAGTTCTGAATCCTTCAGCATTTACAGAAGGGAAGGCATTGATAGTTTGCACAAACATGATCTGGTTGTTTTCAGCATAAGTGCATGCATTTTTAGAGGTGTTGGCATTTGTCTGAGGAAAGGCATGGCCATTGGGAAGTAACTGAGTGAAACATGCTCCTTCATTTTGCAGGTTTGTATTTGCATCAGCATTCTGGACTGGCCTTACATTCCAGTCCATCTTTTCTTGTTTTCTTTTTCTTCAGGCAAAACCAAAATGCTAAAAAAAAAGATTTTACAAAAATTACAACCTTAATCTTTTGATCAAGACCTATTTCACCTACTGAGAAGTGATTTAGAATGCATTATGAACAGAACTGTTGAATTTAAATTGCTAGGTAGGAGAGCAACCCCACTGGCACATCCTGTGGATGTCAATGCYGTCAATGTCAAGCTGCATAAATGATTTCCCAGAACACAGTTGACATATAAAAAAAGAAGCAACTAAAAATTCTACTGACTATCTAGTGACTAACAAAACCTTCACATTATTCTGATAATTCCATTATTAGTCAACCTTTTAATTTAACAATAGATTGCTATATTTACTTTCTTCATCCAAAACCAATGAAAAAAAACTCCAAGGCTGTGTATAACATGACACAATAAACAACACTTAAGAACTGAGCATAAGAAACACCTACAGAATAAAATACGGGCCAGGGTTTTCAGATAGTAAGACTCAATTTCAATTATACCTTCGACTACAACAACAGAAATAAAAAAAATTAATTTGGGTTTAGTAAAAAATCTCTCATAATAATGRGGCCCACTAGTTTAATTTTGAGAGATATGATATGAACTACAAGCAAAGCACCCCTAATTCTGTTGGGGTCTTATTTACTCAGTTAGGAGAAGGCAAGAAGCATAGAGATGACAGCAACACCGTTGCTACTGCAGTACTGACACCTTCAGGAGGTGACAAAGCCACATATTGATGTCTTCCTATGTTATATTCCAGAATGCACATTGATCACCAACAAATCCAGATGGGTGAGCATGCCTCAAAGCCTTCAAAGCCAAACACTATTTCAGCCTTCAAAAACACACAAAAACAACAAAAATCCCCRTGATAAAGTACATGAATGAACGCTTGTCTGCATCTTGACAAGCTCCTCTCAGTATGGTCAAATCCAGCTAGGACAGAACAAACACCTCACTTTGTGCAGGATGTTAGTTTCTCAACAGAATGTTTCATGCCATTTCTCCCAGATCACCCAAGACTCCCGACTTCCCTTCATAGCCTCTTTTAGATTTTATGACTCTKCTGATTTCAGATTTGAGAATCAGAAGTATTATTCATATCTAGCCTATAAAAAATAAAAGACCCACTGTTATAATTTTCCAGGTGTTATTTTCAAGATATAAAGACAACTCTATCCTTCTTCACTCTTTTACCTTGTCTGCTCTTATAAGACACCAATAACAAAAAAAAMCCCAGGAAAATAAAGTCACATATGAAATTCATAAAAAACATCAATAGCTGTGTTAAGGCAATACTTACAGCGATGCAGGAATCTTAGATGAGAAAACAGGCTTTTGCATCCAAGGTAAAGATTTCAGGCTGCTAACGTTACACTGGGCATTTCCTGAAAAATAATCAGGGATAAAACAATTACATCCTTGAATTAGACAACTGCTGAGGAAACTTCAGATATTTACATTTTCTGGAAACATAACTGAGAGAGGCAAACAAGGCTAAGAAACCAACCAGTAAAAGCCAACTGTAAAATCCTTGCTAGAGGAGGAACTTTGACTACATGCAACACACAATTTCACCAAGGGTAAAATCCAATTACTGTCACTGTCAAGGTGAAAAAAAATGAGGAACCCCTTTCTACAGACAGGCTGGAGACAAGGAGAGTGGGGTTCACTGCACTGTTAAACCCCACAMCATAGCCCAAAAGGACCGGGGGTGGAGACTGTAATGGATGTGCCTTGAAATTCTTCATGTTACGAGAATTGCATTACAATAATTACTGTAGGAGGAACCACACAGGACCATCCCCAAGAGTTGTTCTGAGATAAACTGTTTACCCCTAAAGCTGTTGGCCTGGTGCTCTCCCAGGCTGCACCAAGTCACTCCACTCCAGTGCCAACAGAGGGATGCAATACATGGCATCACAACTGGCCTGAACTGTTTCGGGGCCTTGCCCTGCCTGTGGGTGCCAGATGCTCTCAGGRAGGGAACTACCTGCTCCATTTTTTGAACATAAAAAGTCACAAAGGCWAAACCATGAAAAGAAAGTTACCTTGCCTATTTGTTTTAGAAAAGCTGAGCACTGAATGCAGTTGAAGTCCACGCTGTCTCCCTATAAACAAGAAGTATCTGAAGCCAGCAGGACAACTTAGGCTGGAATAAACGCAACTCTATGATTCTTGCCAGTGTTTGTGTCAGAAGCCCCTGAGGCAATTGTGGAGAAATCAGAAGGCCACAGGGTCCCTGYAATCGCAGCATCTGCCCAGGAAAAGCCTGACAGGTGGCTGGAGGCTGCCTAAAAGTGAGTTTCTGAAACAAGAATTGTTTCAGACAGAAATGTCAAGTGACTGTCGGCAATGGAAGAGACGAGGCAGATTACTTGGATGCAATAAGCCAATTTTATTGATACAGAGTATTTATACCTTTTCAGCAGTAACTAAAAATAGTTACTAAAAATAATAGTTACTAAAAATAGTAACTAAAAATACTATCACAAGTGTATCTATGTTTCTGAATAACATTGCAAAACTAAGTGTAGCACTGACTAGTACAGGTACATGTCCAAACATGCTGTTCTCTTATGCTGGCTGTTCTGTGCCTCACTGCTTGCCATGGTTTGTGCCCTAGCAGTGTTACCATGTCCACTTCTGACACGGGTTRAGCACTGCTCTCACTTCTGCTTTCTAGCTGTATCCCTACATGAACCTTGCCCAGCTGCAGCAGTGATAGAGTTGACCTCTAGTTGACCTTACTAGGTGACCCCAGTAACCTCTGGGTTACAGGCCTTGTTTCTCACAGGACTACAGGTACATGTCAGAGTTACTTTTGATAAGCTCCAGACAGTACATACTTTTACAAGTATTTCACTCCAATAATTTCCATCCTTTYACAAGTATTTCMCTCCAGCCTGATTCAATAATCYCAAAGTTAAACATTSTGAGGATGTGAAGAATAATGTTTCCTGGCAGGAAGTGACACAGGTGAGGATGTAGCAGACAAAGTTCCTGATAAAGCAACCAAGAAGTGATAGCACTCATAACTTACCTAACACTGCTGAGCTAAAGGCTACTGAGCTGAAACAGCTGGCCCAGAAACATCTGACTGGCAGTCAATCACTATAAAAGCCCAGTCCCAATTTTTAACAGCAGGGATTTGTTACAAAAACATAACTGAAGACCCGACAACAGTTAATAGACTATTGGAGCACCTGCTAAGTCCAGTTGCATTCAAAAGAACCAGTCAGGTTCACAAATAGTATGGTTTATTAAAATGCAACACACATGACTCTTTTGGATTGTCAGTGATATCTGCATAAAAACAGCTCTAGCAATACAATGGCAATCGCAAGCTTAATTTCTCACATCAAAACACTCATTATATGTCAGAGCWACCATTTGTCGAGGGACAGGAGAGATGCACAATGACCACTTGATCTCSCAAGTCTCGTTTATTGCACACGCAACCACGGCTTTTATACCTACGCTTTCCAACGGWAACAACGTKTACTTTAACGTTCCCYAACGATWCTAACAGTAACTAACGTTTGTTAACGCTTACTAACGATACAYAGTGCCTTTTATGGCAAACTCTGCTGTTACAAGTCTCTCGAGCTGACTCCCTCMGAGGTCARACAGTTCCAGAATATTCACAGGTCCCTTATCTCGCAGCCAAGCCTCAGAAAGGCTCCCCACAATTATAGCAGAGGATACAAGTCTTACCAAAAGGTGCCCCTTCTGCAGAGAGCAAGGCAGATCCGTCCCTGCAATTTTCAAATTCTCATCCCACARCTAAGTACAAAATCAGGGTCCTTTTATACCTTATTAGCCATTATTGTGCAAAGTGCTGTGGGTGGTCAGATTTTCTGTTCTTTGTGATTGTGTTGCATGCAGTATTTCTTGGTAGGAGGTATACCTGGTACCAGTAGCACAAAACATTTCCTGGTATTGAGACTGTGCCACTCCTTCCCCACTTCACATTCCTCCCCGGTGCCATGGCAACAAAAAYCTCCCATCAGTTTTCCATGTCTGCTTTGATCACTGATGCTCTGATGTGTGGGCCCCATCTCGTATTGAGCTTTGCTATTYTCTTTACTGTTTTATGCTTCCAACACTCTTAACATACCCCCTCACAGCAGTGTCTGTGGAGCTTCCTCCTTTGAGTGGGGACATCTCCAAGGTTATTTCTCSAGGCTGAGTTGAAGAGGTATGCCCACAGACAATGGTATGAGTGAGCAACATCAATCTCTACTTAATGATTTTGCCAGYTTTAAAACTGTCACTGTAATTATAGTTAACTATCCATGCTGTGTAGTAACTGTGATAAAGGTCTTTAGTCTAACCAGGATAAAGATCAATATTATCATCAGTATTAACACCACAAAAATAAATAGTTTTTCCATATTGGWTTGCCTTCCTTTATCCTGTGGGATGAAGTTGTATAAAGATTCAACCACACTTGTATAATTCTTTAGACATAAATCTTTGACTAAATCTGGGGCTAGAASTGGATCCAGCCACACCCAGCCTCCTCTCTGAGAAGGAGTTTAGAAAGCAGTGGGATCCTTTCTGCACCCTGTGACTCAACAGGAGGGTCAACCTGATAAACCTCGTGTGAATCTTCCCTTCTGCCAGTGACAGCTGGGCATAAATTTTGCCCCCTCTCTGTCTCATACTGCAGTCTCAAAAGCTGCCAAAATAATCAATGCCATTTACCTTTCATCTTATCTATGCAGAGCAGGTTTGGACACGTAAAAGATTCCTCCAGTGTACCACCCACTAGGCCTACCAAGCTTAGTTTGTTTGTACTCAAAATGGCATTAATTATACCTTTACTCATTTACCTCCAGGCTATGGCCATAGTCCTACTACGGATGCTAAGATAGATCAAGCAATTTTAGCTGAAATTTCTCCCACTCCTGATGTCTCTCATCACCAGTACACAGGTGATTTCCTAGCACATACAGATGAAATCTTACGCAAATTATCACCCCAAATTTCAGCCCTCAAAGAACACCAGGAACATTTTMTCTTCCTGGTAAATGCCAGGGTCCTACCCACAATGCCAAGTSTTGGGGTTATTTTTAAAGGAATCTTTTTTATATGCCAATACMAAAGATATTTCTGAAAGTGCCTTGCAGTCTGTTTTCTTCACCAATCTACTTCCTCCTCCAAATGCAAATATCGAGTCTTCTAGACTCTAAACTTTTGTCATGATAAGGCTCAGGTTTTTGTCAGCTAGRTTTTTGTCTCTATTCCTTGCTATGCACACATTGACCTGGGACTGGAATATGAGTCACAAACACTTCAAAYCCTTCTCCTAAAAGTATTCAACAATATCAGTATCTGTTTGTGCAATGATATATAATAAGCATTAATTACAACTAAGCAACTCATCAAATAACTGCACGCTCACCACTTACGTGCAATATGACAGAGGCAAGAGGTAACTCTACTACTGCTCTGTGAGTAAATTAAGTTGATTGACTAACTATAGGGATGAGCTCAACTCCTTGACCAAATCATTGACACTTTGGCTCAGGTTCAAAAGGAAGTAAAGGCCTAGGCCATGACAAGGTCAAGAACTTSTCTAGTTCCCACCTGTTCTTTGAAAACCCACACAGGAACAGGGTGACACRGAGAGCTTTGATGCATAAGAGCTGGGAAACCGGAACACCAGTCATGCGACTAAGACATTAATAACAGGTAGTTCTTCCAGGACTAATTAGTAAGGAAGAAATGAAGTTATGGGGGCAATGARTTTTATGCCTACCTTTTCCATGGCATTTGACTACGAGCCAACCACTCTATCACACAAGGCTCAAAGCAAGCYTCTTTTGATCTCTCCCTGCTAAGCAGCCAGCTGCATGGCTGTAACCTTCCCTTGAGCTGGGTCACCCCTGAGTTACTCCTTGAGGCTGAAAGATCCCTTATCAACTCCAGATCTTCGGAGTGACTGATACAGTGCATAACCTCATATCACAGAGCATGAASATAATATATTAATACTTTTGAAGTATTATTGTACCTGGACAGTAAGATTAAACCTTGCCAGGGGACTTTCTTAAGCATTGCTTTTACATCATCTCATTTCAATAAAAGCCTTTTCCAGCTACCTGTGCTGGTGGTTCTTCAAGTGATCTAAATCTCCTCTGYGACAMGCATAACTGAGGCACTCACAAYAGCTCTAAAACATTCTTATTCWTTGCTMAAAGCTCCCTTCAATAGAACCAAAACTCTATAAACATATGTATTTTCAATGCCAGCTACTGTGATCACAGCTCTTTCCTACCTTCCCCTATGTAGTTCAGCAAAGAGAGAGTCCAAGAATTGAAAACACAAAAGTTCAGCTGCAGGCCAGCAAAACTTGGTTCTCCTGTTTCTGCTTCTGGAT